AACACATTCTGGCTCCAGGAGGAGGAAGGAGTCGATGTGACTCAACAGCCTCCAGCAGAGGAGGAAGCCGGGGGCGTGACCTCCCCTCTCCTCCCCTCTCCTCCCCTCTCTCTCTCCCCCAGCTGTTTAAAGGCAGCTGGCGGCCGTGCGAGCTTCACTCAGCGCTGTGGCCGGGAGCAGCCATGACGGCGGTGGGAGAACTGGTGCTGGTGCTGGGCTTACTGGTGAGCGCCCACTGCGAGGTCAGGGCTCGGGACCCCGAGGTGGACGAGGAGGAGGAGGAGCTGGGAGGAAGGGCAGGGGGAGGCGCCTTCTCTCCTCACCCTGGGGGAATTGAGGACCCCCAGATGGGAGGGACGGGGAGCTACCCATCCAGAACCGGGTGAGTCCGGACCGCCAACACCCTCCAGTCAGGCTTCACACAGTTAAATGAGCTTTAAAAATACAGATAAAAAAAGCTGTAATACTGTTAGAAAAACAAAACCTGCAAATGTGTAAAAACAATGTTTCTGCTGAAATTCAAATACAGTAAAAAATGATTAAATTATGTAAAAAAACAAACAAACAAACAAACAAATCACTATTAAAAGTTAAAGTACAAAAGTTTGATATGTATTTACAGTTTGGAGTTTTTTTATTTTAATTTTTCAATTTTAATTTATTTTGTTTTTACAACATCTCCAGAATAGCAGCAGATCCTTGAATAATTATGATGTTCCTGCTGATTTTTTTTACAATTTTTAAAAATTCTTTACAGTTTTGATGTTTTTTTTTGTTTTGTTTTTTACAACAGATAAATTAGAAACCAAAAACAAAACATCAAAATCTGTTCAATAAAATTTTTGAAAGATTTTTTTCAGACTTTAATATGCAAATTTTCCATTTTCCAATAACAGCAAATACCTGAATAAAAATACATAATTTTTTTTTAAATTGCTGATTCAATATGAACAGAAAAACACTGTGATGTTATCGTCACAATAAAAATAAAAAATGTAATTAAAAATTTTATGTAAATTATTGTTTCTTCTGTGATTTTACAAGAAAAAAAACTAAAAAAAATTATCTGTAAAACAACTGTTCAAAAACTACAGATATAAACTCTTGAAAGATGCTAGTTTTTTTTACATTACACTATCTAGTAGTGCTTGTTATTTTTATTATAAACTATTTTCATAATCAAATAAAAATCTTCAAATAAAACCACCAAACATACAACAACACCTCAGATCTGAACACCTGCTGCTTCTCTTTTTCTTATATTATTATCATGAATCAAACATTTTGTGATCTCTGGTCGTGCTTAATTACGTCATTTTGGGTTTTAGGAAATAATGAATAATACTTTCCACTAATATCTGATGTTTAATGTTCTAAACCGTGAACCATGATCATTCCTCTGTGCTCATCTTGAGTTTTTGGTTGTTTTGTGTCTTTATCTTTTTTATCAGTTTGCATCTCTGTGTTGTCGTTTTATTTCATTTTTCATTCCTGCACCACTTTATGATAATTGTGCATCCCTTAAATCATAGTTTATCTTCTCCATGTGGTTATTTTGCATCTTTAAGTGGTAAATTCACATCTTCTTGCGGTGATTTTCATCCCTTTTCAGACTTTGTGCATCTCTGTATGTTAACTTTGTGCCTCTTCTGAGGTTATTTGGCATCTTTACGTCTCTCTGGGTTGTTTTGCGTCCCTTGTTAGTCCTTCTCATCCCTTTGTGTGTGCTTCTCTGCACTTTTGTGTCTCATTGTAGTAGTTTTGCATCTCTGTACAGTAGTTTTTTGCCTCTTTGTGGTAATTTTATTTATTATTTGTGTCCTTTTTTTACTTATTTTCATCCTTTTGAGGCATTTTGCATCCCGTTATACTTGTGCATTTCCATTCAAAGGGTTTTTGTGGTAGTTTTGCATAACTTTACTGTCAGTTTGCATCCCTTTGTATGTTATGGTCAGATTGCGTGGTGATGATTTGAATCTGTTTATATTTGTTTACTGCACTTTGCAGTCATTTTGCATCATTTTTTGTAATTTGTGAGAAAAATCCAAACATCCTTCGGCATGAAACAAACTCCAAAGTTTATGTGAAGTTAAGTTGATGCTTCCGCAGCTCGAGTGGATCTCTGAGAGCAGCCGGTTTGTTTAGCATTAAGATCCGTCCTTGTGAAGAGGGAACAAAAAGAGGATTATGTCCTAAAAAGGCTCTGACTTTGGAAGATTATTGGTTCGTTGGACCAACTGAGGCTGCTTCAGATAATCTCTGGACGCTGTGGCTTCTGGAGGTTCGCTGCAAACAGCAGGAACGATGAGCAAACAGAGACCAGATTCACTTTGTCTCGCTCTCAGATGCTTCAATGAGGTTTCTAAGTGTCAGTCAGCAGGTTCAGACTCGCTGGCTTCTCCGGACCTCACACACTGATCTCTGGATCCTTCTGCACATCCGAGCCTCCTCCGGCTTCAGCTGCTCTTTGTCACGTTGGTTTTAAACAGGCAGAACATTTACCTGCAGTCCAGTTTGGTCCTCGCAGTGGTAGAAGAACGCCGACACACACGAGTCACGCCTGATGCACACAGAAGCATCAGGCGGTGTTTTGACTGCCAGCATGCGTTTAATAGGCCGCTCACACACACACGTATGTTCATCTGAAGACTTCATGAGAAGCTGGAGGTCCTCCAGTGTTTGTCCTCCAGGCGGTGGTGGAAGAAGCTTTCACATCCTTCACTTCAGTCCAAATATTCAACATCCTGCATTTAAAACCATCCTGCAGTTGTTTGTTGTTAGTTTGTAAAAGTACGAACAAAAAAATACGAAATGTCATCAACTGTATGTAAGTAAAGCGCAATTTTGATTCCCTGGACGCAGAAATGTCACAGACCCCCGAACAGAGAAACAGCCTGAAGGAGACACATCAGTACAAATAACTGCATGTCTTTGTTGTTGTTTTGAATCTTAATGTGACCATTTTGCATCCCATTAGAAAATATTTATGTGTTGATTTTGTGCCTCTATCCATCAGTCAGTTAAATATCCTGCTGTAATACCATTCCATCCATTCACAGCAGTTTTATATATATCTGATATTTTGTGACCATTTGGCATCCCATTTCGGTCATTCTGACTCTCTCTGAGGTTGTTTGGGATCCCTTTGTAGTCGATTTGCATCTATGTGAAAATTTAAAATGACTGTTTTTCATCCCTTTTTAGTCGTTATATCACTTTGTGGTCGTCTTTGTATCACGTTGTGGTTATTTTGCATCCCCTTTAGTTATGTTGTATCTCTTTGAGGTCATTTTGCATCTTTTCGTGCTTATTTTCCGTTTCTCTCTGGTTGGTTTGTATCTTTGTGCTCGTTTTGCATCCGTTGGTCGTCTTTTCTTGCTACGATGTGGTAATTTTTGCATGACTTCTGTAATTACGCATGTCATTTTCTGCCTCAGTGTGGTCAGTTTCCTGTTTTGTTGTGGCCATTTTCATGTTTTTAGTAATTGTGTGAGTCTTTTCTGTCCTGGTGTGGTCATTTTGCATCAGTTCTTTGGTGTTTTGTGGTCATTTTGCATCATTTTTTGATCATTTCACATCTGTTTTTGGTCATTTTCTGTTTCTCTGTGGTTGTTTTTCATCTATATGTGATAATTTTGTGTCTCTTTTCCTCTTTATTCATTTACACATCCCTTTTAGAAATGTTTTATCTATTTTTAGTCATTTCGTGCCCGTTCAGAATCCTCTTCCAGACATTTTGCCTCACTTTCTGGTTTGTTTTGCGTCCTATTGCAGCTGTTTTGCCTCTATGTGGTCATTTTGCTTCCCCTTTTAGTGATTGTGCGCTGCTCGTCCTGCTGGGCCTTTTAGCTTTTATCCAATTGTTGGTCGTGCACTGATTTCAGCAGCAGAATTCATCCACCTGCCTGATCACCGCTGTGATAACAACAATGCTGCCCGTAAATCCCTGAGTGTCGTCCTTTCATCTGCCAGCTGGATGACGGCTGAACGAGCAGTAAATGAAGCCTCTGTGGTCTCGATATCTGCCGGGTATTCGGCTCTCTTTGATCGGAGTCGCTCTGCTCGCTGATCTTCTTCACACCCGGGGGTTTGTGCAGCCCAGAATGCAAGGTCCACGTTTACTTTGAAAGGATTTCAGGGAGGTCTTTGGTCCACAAGAGCAGCAAGAAGGATGCAGAATGGCCACAAAAACCAATAAACAACACTTCACTGAAAAGGGAAGAAAAGTGACACCCAGAAGGAGATGCAAACTGACTAAAAGGGATACAAAATGAGCACAGAAATGAGAGAGACACAAAACAATCAAAGAGAAATGAACAAGCAAAGCAAAACGATCAAAAAACGGTGCAAACTGACCACAAAGAGACGGAAAAAGATCACAAAGTGATGCATGATTACTAAACGGAAAGCAAACTGACCACAAAGAGAAGCAAAGAGATGCAAAACTACCAGAAAAGGAACAGAAAACAATTCCAAAAGGAAATAAAATGACTAAAAATTGGTATAAAATATCCACAGAAAGATGCAAAATTACCAAAAAAGAAAGCAAAAGGATGCATAGAGGCTCAAATGATCACAAAGAGATGCAAAATACCCACAGAGAGACCGAGAACTAATGCAGAAGTACAACGTGGGGGCAGGAAAGAACCACAAAGATGAATGCATTACTAGGAAGGGATGCAAAATCAGCACAAAGAGACACAAAATGAGCAAATAGTGAAGAAAAACAGCCACAAAGTGATATGAAATGACTTACAAAATGGTCACAAAGTGGCGTAAACTGACCAGAAAGGTACTAAAAAGGAAATGTGAGTGAATAAAGGAGGATAAAGAAGCATTAAGTCAGAGCATCAGTCAGTCAGCAGTTCATCAGAATGACTTAAACCTCATCGTTAAACTGAGAGTGAGCACATCTGGACTATTACAGCTCCTCCTGAAGCGTCTCTGCAGCAAGTTTAATGTTGATTTCATAGAATTAGCGAAAACAAAGACAGAAAAACTCATGATATAGAAAATGATCAGCATGTGAAGCAGACTTGATTTAAAAACACCAGAATGCTCCTTTAAACTCCTGCAAATCCTCAGATATCCTCCTATTGCTGTGAAACAACAAACTGTTCCACGTCCACTTCTTCACTGCTTGACTACCTGTTGACCTCTGGAGCACGTATACACCCCCCTCCCCCCTCCACCACCACCACCCGGGCCTCCACCAGAACCAATCAGCCGCCAGCGTCCAGAGATAACGCTGCGGCTGAAAGAACCAGAAACCCTGGAAAGCTGCTCCCCATTACAGCACAAAGAGCTCCGTTTGTGAACGCTGTCATTAGTGCGGCGTTTAAAGTGGATGTCGGGGGGTCAAGGAGCTAATGGAGGGCTGTTTAGTCAGGAGCCCTCGGGGAGCGTTTTATCAGCGTACCGTATGGATGTGGGTCAGAAAAATGATGGAGGCCTCTGGGAGCGCGCTCCAAAAAACCGTCACCGGCCGAGATATTTAATCCTCTTATTTAGTCTGTCAGTCTCCGTAAGCGACGCGTCTCCCAAAACATGGTCCAGCAGATCGGCTCACTCCTGGAAGAACCACAACACCAGTGATGTAATGACAAGATGTGATCGATGCCTGGACGGAAACAAACACTGTACCAGGCAAAATATAAGACAGGCCCCTGCTCTGACTCTGATTAGGAAAGAACAACAGAAACGATCTCCAGAAGACATAAAACAGCTCGAAAGTGACACGAAATGGCAGCAAAAGTAAGAAAACCAAACAACAAGAGACGAGAAATGATTATGAGGATTCAAAATCTCCATAAACGGATGCAAAACAAACTCAAAGAAACATAAAATGAAAACAAAGTGACCCCGAATCACTAAAAGGGATTCAAACTTGCCACAAAAGACGCAGAATGACTTAAAGAGATGCAAAATTACCACAAAATATGCAAAACAACCACCAGGAGATGCTCAGATTTGCACAACAACCACAAAGAAACACAAAATGAAAACAAATCACCAAAAAGTGCAAACTGACCCAAAATAATGCAAAACTTAATCTAAAGAAAAATAGACAAAAATGAAAACAGACACTCAAAAACCACTAAATGCAAAATGAGCAGAAAGAAAAACAACATGAAGACAATGGAACCGTCCTCGTCTGAAACCAAACGCTGTGTCTGTAGGCCGAAGCCTCTCCAGCCTCCTCAGGACAAACTTTAGGTTTGTCGTGCTGATAGCGGAGCTGATCTCTGTGTGTTGTTATGACATCTCCCTCCACCTCCTACCGTCCCGTCATTCAGATGTGAACCCGAACCCTCGGCCCGCGGCAGGAACCCCACGGATCCGCTCAGGACGGGTCGAGGTCTCGCTCGGAAACACTTTCTTGAACGCTCACCAAAACAAACGGGCGGCGGACGGATCGGCTGGAGGCGACAGTTTGACAGGCCACAGCTGTGTGACACCTTCAAGAGAGTCCAGATCTGAAGATGTTTGGTCCCAAACGAGACGCTGTGTTTGAACAAAGAGACGCCTCCTCCAAGAAGTGACTGGCAGGACTAAGTTAAACCAAATGAGCAGCTGTTTGTGTTGGACACCAGGGACCTGAAGGAAAACCCAGTTCTGTCTTTACCAAGGTTACGTCTCCTCAGCCTGACACGTCCAGGCCCGTCCA